TATGGACGCTAAAATGGGAATATGTTGATATTGTTTGACGAAATGTTGTCTTTATGTGAGTATGAGATAAAACAAACTGTTCTACAATTTGATGTTTCCTTTCATCCTCAGGGGGACCTGACGAAGTGTTTTATGGTATAGGGCCTCACTATAAGACATGACATTAATTGGTGGGAATTAAACAAAACATGGAACAAAAAATCTTTCCCGAACAGAAATAATCCAGGGTATCAGCAAAAGGCTAAAAATGCTTTATATCACTGTATTTTTTTTATGAATTTTATATCCAATTCGATTAACAAACGAATATTTTCTACGCATTTTTCGCTCATAAGTTTTTTTTGGTTGAGTATAGAGACTCCATGTACAGAGGTGCTATAGAACTGCTCTAAAACACGTTATAGCCGGCAATACTTACGAGGTATTCAGTCAGCGAAAGTCGAAAAGCCTGTACCTTTTTTTAATATACAGAAATGTTTAACCATAACAAATGAAGTACATGCAGCCAAAGAAGACAATAATACAAACATGACAAGGTTTCTTAACCTATGGATCGACTCCAAATTGGTTGGAAATATTTTATATTAATTTTGATGTTTAGTGTCTGTTAATCAAGATAAAACTGCCTGTTAAACCTTTTGATATATTTACATTCAAAAACTCTATACGGCCATGACATATGTTGGTAAATAAATAATAGTTTTTAAGATATGGGTCGGTTTGCTTGACAGGCAAAAGCGCTGGGGTCACTGCTCAAAAAAGGTCAAGAACCCCGACCTAATCATCGACGCGCAGCCTGAGAGGCATTTTGACCTCGTTTTACATCGTGTCGGACTGAAAGAGGGGTGCCTAGAAGAATGTTGCCATGTTTATATATACAGTATATCTATCTATCTATCTATCTATCTATCTATGTACGTATATATGTATATACATGTATACACACATAGGTATGTATATATATACACATGTATATATACGTATGTGTACGCACTCGCGCGCCCGTGTGTGTATATGCATATACATTATTTATCACTCACGCACACATTTATGTGTGTATATATATATATATATATATATATATATATATATATATTAGAATATAGCAGACATTTTCCGAACCCATGACTATGCAGCGGCGAGGATCACATGGCCTCGTTCCCAAAACCTCATTCTACTTCACCGTGATATGAATTCCGAACTCACAGTAAGAGGCATACTGTAACACCATGCTTAAGATTTTTGCTTTGTCCGTCTTGGTGTTTGTGCAGTTTTCTGTCTCAATTAATTACGTGTATATGTGAGCCAAAAGTACTTTTTCAATGAAAACTCTTTATATAAAATAAAAACTCCTTAAACTTAAATCACATCAATTTCTTGGAAGGCTGGAAAAGTCTACCGGAATCAAGACGCATTTGGACGACTCCTGATTTCATTTGCATTATCGACAATTGAAACAAAATGAAAATTATTGCATGAAATCGAAACTGCAACATCATGGCTGAATCATTTAGTGAGTGACTGATTGCTTTTTGGCTTTCTAAATTGTATATTTTCATCACTGCTCAACTAGTAACCACCTTTTACTTTATCTCATCAGGTGAAGCAGTGATCTGTATATGACTTCTCTGGATAAGATATATCTTTTCTGGTTATTTCTATAGAAAATGAATCTAGGTTTTTGCTATCTTTTAGTTACTTCTTAGAATTATTAATTTCCTTATCTTTATTTTCTTTTACTATTTTAGTATTGCATATTCTGGTCTGTGTGTTCAGGAACAGCTACATCATGAATACACATGTAATGAAAAATCAACTGTCTAATAGTTATTTATTTCACATGAAATGTTGCTCGTGAAAAGGAAAAAACACGTCAACATCTCAAAGTGTGATGTGCACTTGCACAGACATTGCCTTGATTTTTTTTCCATGCCAGTCAGGTGAATTAGATTAGGAAAAAATATATTTTTCTTCTCGACTCAATTTATTACAAAGAAAAAGTATGGTAGACAACATAATATGAACATTTCACCATTTGAGCGACTGTTGTGCACTCGGCGGACACACAGTCTGCGTCACCATCTTGGTGAGCGTGTGAGTGTTGGTTGTGTATCGAGGAACATATTCCGTGGTGGTCGTCACGCTCGTCTCCTTCACGCTCTCCACCAGCTGCTGGGTCTCCAGCTGACTCAGTGTCCAGGTGAGCGTGGAAAACTGGGTCTCGTGCACCGTAAGCGTGACATCGAGCAGGCGCGTCTGGACCTCCGTCACGGTGTCAAAGTGGGTCTGGAGCACGGCCACGGTTTCCACGAGGGTGTGGTAGTTGGTTGCCGTTCGTGTGGCCACGTCGAGGACGGTCTCGCTGAGTCTCCTTGTGACGGTCTCGATCTGCGTCAGCGTGAGTGGCACTTGAGTCTCGAGGAGCTGGACCTGTGTGACGGTGACATTGGGCGGTGGCGCAGTGACGGTGTGGACGTGGGTGGCAGTGACGGGCAGTGTG